TATCAGACAAAGCTTTAGAATTCTTGATTTCAAGGAACATTCTGGCTTTACCCTCTCCAGGACAAACCTGTTTGTTCTCCTAGCAGTCCATGGTATATTCAGCACTCTTCTCCAACACCACACTCAAAGGCGTTGATTCTCTTTCTGTCATCCCTAGTCACTGCCCAATTCTCCAATGCATAGCATACAATTATGAAGACTATAGCTCGGATCAGGTGCACCTTAGTCTCTAGCCTGACATTGGTGCTCTTCAGTACTATTGAGAGGTCTCTCACAGCTGACTTTCCCAATGCAATTTGTCTCCTGATTTCCTGGCTGCTGTTACCAACAGTCTTGACTATGGAACCAAGTAAACTAAAACTCTTAACTACCTCAATCTCGTCACCATCCATACTGATGCTGCCAGTTGACCCAGTGGTGAAAATCTTTGTTTTCTTGATGTTGAGCATCAGTCCATACTGAAGGCTGCAGTCCTTGACCTTCTGCAGCAAGCGCTTCAGGTCCTCCTCAGTTTCAGCAAGCAGGGTTGTGTTATCTGCGTAACACAGGTTTTTGATAAATATTCCGCTAATCCTGATGCCTCATTCCTCCTCGTACAGTCCAGCATCTCGTTTGATCTGTTCTGCATACAGATTGAAAAGGTATGGAGACAGAATACATCCCTGACGGACCCCCTTGATTTTGAACCATGTGGTGTCTCCTTGCTCTGTTCTGACCACTGCCTCTTGGTTCAAGTATAGGTTTTGCACATTAGCACAATCAAATGTTCTGGGATTCCCATTCTTCTCAGAGTCAGCCATAGTTGTGATCCACACAGTCAAAAACCTTTGCATGGTCAATGAAGCACAGAGAGACATTCCACTGGTACTCTCCACTTTCAGCCAAGATCCATCTAACATTAGCTGTAATATTCCTAGTACCAAGACCTCTTCTAAACCCAGCCTGCACTTTAGACAGTTCTCTCTGTTCTGTTCCAGTCATTTGTAGGTAATCTTCAGCAGAATCTTGCTTGCATGTGATATCAGTGATATTGTTTCCACATTCCTTCAGGTCACCTTTCTTTAGAATGGGAACAAATATAAATCCCTTATCTTCCAGATCTCGTGGCACAATTTGGTGAGCACATCCAGGGCAGCGTCTGTTTTTTGAAATATGTCAATTGGTATTCCATCAATTCATGGTGTTACAAAAAGTATATGAATGATTATGATTTGAAAACTTTTCACTTATAAAACCCAAATGAAAACTTAAAACCTCCTGCATGTCAAAGTAGAACTTTTCTCCATAGAGTTGATTTTTTTTTTTATTTTATTTTTTTAGGGGGTGATGTGTGTGTGTGTGTTTAATTCTTTTGTTTGTGAGTGTGTACCGTCAAATCGGATCTGACTAGTACAGGACAAGATTGCCCCTCCTTCTACAGCAGAACATCTGGTGGATTTGAACTGCATACCTCTGGGATTGCAGTGCAGCTTCTTGCCACTAGGCCACCAGAGCTCCCTCTCCATAGAGTTTTCAGTGGCTATAATATTACAGAAGTAGATTTCCAGGCTTCCCTGGTGCCTCTGGTTGGATTTAAACTGCTAACCTCTTGGTTATGGTTAATGGTAGCTCTTGGCAGAAACAATTTATGCCATGTAGGGACCTAGGATTTCATTGTATGCTTTAGTTAAACTTTCACTCATAGCAACCCTAAAAGACAGTATGGCTATTCTGTAAGATTTCTAAGACTGGAATCTTTACTGGAACAGATGACCTCTTTCCAGGGAATCATAGTTGAACTGCCCACATTTTGATTATTAGCTGTGTCACCAGGGCCCCTTAAAAGAGAAGAGCAAAAACCTCCACTGCCAGTGAGTTCGTTGATTCTGACATTTTTAGTTTTAGATGCCTTCAGGTCAGCTATGACTGACTCATGGTGACTCTGTGAACAACAGATCTGAACCTTGCTCTGTCCTGTACCATTCTTGTGATCTCTGTCGTGCTAAAGTTCATTGTGATAGTCACTGTGTCAGTATGTTCCATTGAGGGTTTTCCTCTTTTTCACTGACCCTTTATCTTTCCCTGGATGATGTCTCTTGTCAAAGACTGGTTCCTCCTTAAAATATGCTCAAAATAAGTGAGACGAAGTTTCACTGTCCTTACCTTTAAGCATCATTCTGTGACCTTGTAGAACCCTAGAAGTGGTTCAAAGGCATTACAAGGCTATAATCTTATAGAAACACTGCCACATTTTTCTTCTGAAGGATGACTGGTGGGTCAACCGCTGACCTTTCAGTTAGCAGCCATGGGCTTTAACCACTATCCCAACAAGACTCTTTAACACCCCTTGAGTTGAAAGTGCAGATTCTGAGGACTGCAGTCAGATTAAAGTCATTTTAGGTGATAGAATTTTAAAAACAACCACACAAAGAGACATAGATAAGGCCTTCCTTCAAATCATCCACTGTGGCAGTGGGAACCTTTTTGCCACCTGTGAAGGTTAGTCACAGAAAAGAAGCTACCCAGTGATTCAGCTGTCTTTCCTTACTGAACTGGTAACTTTTACTTTCTTTTTCCAGCTCTTGTGAATATCTTATATAAGGTTTAATTTCTAAAGTTACTAAGTAAGGCAAAAGTTCTAATGATGTGACCATTGTAAAGAGTAAAAATCAACATTGCAGCAAGCATATTTGAAGGAAAGTACAAAGCAGAAAGGGAGAATACAACCTAAAAGAGACAATAGCAGCTTTATTTGACAGCTTGTTTATTTTCAGAATCTTACATAAAGAATAAAAATGAGAAGATATCAACACACAAGGAACCTGTTGTAAATGAAGGAAAAGCTGACCATACATGTGATTGATTCTAAAATATACATGATTGATTAATTTTTGAGGGGAAAGATTAACAAAAGTATTTATTACAAAACACTACTATACAAAAGCATTTGGTTGTGTAGATCATAACATATTATTAATTACACTGAGAAAAATTAGAATTCCAGGACACTTGATTGTGTTCATGTGAAACCTATACCTAGCCAAGAAGGTGGTGTCCAAACAGAGCAAGGGAACACTTTGAGGTTTAAAATCAGGAAAGGTGTGTGTCAGGTTTGTATCCTTTCTCCTATTATATCTATTCAGTCTGATTGCTAAGCACATAATTGAAAAAGCTGGACTACATGAAGAAGAATGCATTATACAGATGACAAAAAGTGAGGAGGACGTGAGATGGTTGCTACAGAATGTTAAAGAATATAGCCTTCAATATGAATTACATCTCAACATCAGGGAAAAAACTGGACTGATGGGCAACATCATGATAGAAGGAGAAAAGATTAAAATTGACAAACTATTTTATCTTACTTGGATCTACACAACCAACTCCCATGGTACCAGCAGTCAAGAAATCAAGATATATAGTATTGGGGAAATCTTCTGTCAAGGACCTCTCCAAAGTGCTAAAGACCAGTGATGTCAGTTTAAAAGACTAAGGTGTACCTGTGCAAGCCATGATCTTTCCGTTTACTTCCTGTGCATGTGAAAGCTTAACAGTGAATAAGAATGGCAGAAGAATCGAGGCCTCTGAGTTACAGTGTTGGAGAGGCATACTGAGTATCCTATAAATTGCCAAAAGAACAAACAAATGTATATTGGGAGAAGTGCAACTAATATATATGCTCTTTAGAGGCAAGGATGATGAAACTTGATCTCACATACCTTGGCATATTTCAGGAGAGGTCAGTCCTTGGAAAAGAATATGTTGGGAAAGGTGGAGAATTGGAAAGAGGAAGATCTCAGCCACATGGATTGACTCAGTGACTATAACTGGGCTCAAGAATGTCAAAGATCATGAAGATGGCTCAGGACTGGGTCAGGTTCAGATGTGTATAGAGTCAGTGTGAGTCATAGAGCTCTGGTGGAGCTGCACTGCCGACTCAAAGACATGTGGTTCAAATCTTAACAGCTGCTCCAGGGGAAAAAGATTGGCAGTCTCCTATGCAGTTTATCACCTCTAAAAACTCACTGAATGATACATAAAAATACAACATATACAAAAGTTGGATGAAGTTATTTCTTAAATTCCCAGATTGATAAATGCACTGCTTGCTATGGAGGAACTCTAGATTGATGTTTATGGGTTCAGCTTTCCCACTAGTCTTATAACCTGGAAGAGTTATGTTTAGAAGTCTAAGACTTTGAATTGATATAGAAATGTGAAGTTAGCTAGAAAGAGGACTCAGCCTCCCTGTCTCAGGGTGGCTTAGCTTTTGATTTGTTGTTCTGCCATGCTAGACATTAAGAATGGTCTGGCAAAATAGGACCCTTGGAAAGAAGGTAGACTTTATCAAGACTAATATTAAAAGAGAATAAGGTGAAAATACTGACATTTCTTGGGTCTCTTGGGTTTTGATACTTTCCAGAATGAGTTCTTTAATACATTTTGTCATTAAATACATTGATAGAAATTAGACAATATGTGTATATGTATGTATACACACACACACATATACACAAAGATTATATGATCTCTTCAAAAATCAAACTGTTCTCAATTTATTCAGGGAAAATTCTGTTAAGTAGGCTGCCAATAATTTCTAGTAAGGACTCTAAGGAACTTCAAATGAGTTTGGGAAAACAGATCAAAAGGGCTTTTGTTTTTTAATGAACAGTATTAGGATTATCTAATTATAGACAAGAGCTGGTGAGTTCCATAGAAGGTGACTAACTAAATGTTTTATACATGACTAGAAAGTAACGGCAAGCAAAATTTCAGAGCTGAGCTGTCGTGATATTTTTATCTAGTGTGTGGGGTGTTAACACTGCATCACAGCTATAATAGAGCTATCACATGGATTTTGAAAAACAAGATAGAGATGTTTTAAAAAGCCTCTGTGCCTTCATTTCTGAGTCAGATTCTTTATTGTTTGGCATTGGACAGTTGTAATATCCAGATATTAAAGGTGAATTACTTTAAGTAAGAGTTGTCACAGAGAGATAATTTCTTTAAAATTATTTCAGGAAATGGAAGATAAAGTGATTAGTCCAGAGAAAGCTGAAGAAGCGAAATTAAAAGCAAGGTATCCTCATCTGGGACAAAAGCCTGGAGGTTCAGATTTCTTAAGGAAACGACTACAGAAAGGGGTAAGTTCTTATGTGTAAGCTTAAATGCTTACGCCCTGTAAATTCTGAGCTGATATGTGTATACATGTATAATAGTGCTTTTTTCCCCCCCAGTACTTCAAACTATTTGTTTATAAATGCATATATGAATCAATACCTTAACATCTAAAAGCTATAAATTTTTTCAAACAGAAAATTACAGATGACTGTGACAACTTTTGTACCCATCATCCACATTTAATGTTAGTAATTCACAATATTTATTTCAATTTTATCTTTGTAAGAACGATGATATAGATGTAGTTGAAAGTTAGCTATGTGTATATAAAAATCCCATTCTCCTTTCTCTTCAAAAGCAGCTACTTGTTATTCTTCCTGCTCACATTTAAAATTTTTTTCCCAATTCCTTTACAAGTGATGCTTACTTAACATCCAAATATTTAAAATCATTATTTGGATAAAATGATCACTTATGAAAGCACAGCCCACTCACTTTCCATAATACCACATTTCACAATGTCATTGTTAATACTACATTGTGAGTAGCAGTTCAAATTACTGAAAACATTTTTTTAACTTATGCTTTGTGAGGTATAAACCATTATGTCTCAGCAGTGAGATCTGAATTAAACTAGTGCTGAATTTTGTTTTTTGGGTTTTGTGTTTTTTTGTTTGTGGTTTGTTTTTTTACCTCTTCCTACTATACATGGAACAGAGAAGAATAAAATAATGTTTATGGAAGAGAACTGTTTGTTGAATCAATGCCAAATCTTATTTCTCCTTAAATAACTGTTTTCAATATACTGTCTCTTCTTATTTACAGAAGTGTACATGTCATTGTGTGTGTGCGTGTGTTGTGTATACATGGGAACATACTAAATTTATTGTTTAAAATTTTTTATAAATTTTTAAAGTGGCAGAAAATAGATACTTTTACATGAAAAAAATTAGTATTCCCAGCTTTGAAATGAAGTGATAAGGAAGAATTCTATAAAATGAATAAAAATAAAAACACTATCATGAGATGCAATTAAGATAGTTAATATTTATAGTACATAAAAACAGATCATAGTATACATGTAATCAACAAAATCAGAAAAATACTTAAAAGAATACTGGTAAGATTGAGGTTTACTATGTTTAGCATTTAAGAGCATTACTCTCGTTTTGGAAGGGAGAGGATTTATTAAAATGTTCACATTCTTTGAACAATTTTTTATGAAATAATCTAAGCATAATTCAGTGTGATAGAAGATTTTTAAGATTTGAAGCTTTAACGCTGTTTAAGAGCAGTACCACTAACCAGCAGAGAAATGGTTAAATGTGATAAATCAACAAAATAGATTATGTTGTCAATTAAAACCATAAAAATCATAAATATAGGGAATACATAGAAAAAGAATAGAAACCATTCATTTTAAATGTAGCAATGTATATGCAGAGTTTAATTACAAACTGTTCCATATGGTAAGTTTTTAAGTTATGAAACAAATTACATAATCTTCTCTATTAAAAACTTGGATTTGGGATTTATTTGATCACTTGTGTTTAAGAAGTAAGAGAACCCCACTTATCTCAAGGCTATGTATGCTGGGTAAAACACTTACATTGTTTTTTAATTTTCCTCTAGCTTATAACCATTAATGACTTGTTAAGTATCTTCAAGACTGACTTTCATTTTATCTTTGGGTTGTAGATTCAAGCTGTTGAAAAAGAAGCACATGCCATTTGACTCAGTTATACAGAATTAGACACACAAATTTTTGAGCTGTTAAGAGTCTGGTTCACAAGGTCCTGGATTTCAGTTTTTCGGTGAAATTGATAATTAGCAAACCTCAAAAATTGCCATACCATCTTTGAGCAGTTTGTTCTTCATTTAACAAGGCTGGGCTAGATATTTCTAAAGTTCTGTGCTGCTTTATTGTACTTACTAATGCTCATATTGAGTGTCATGAATTGACATCTATTTGAGATTTTTTTATAAATCTGTTTTCTCAAGAAAATGGAGGTTCCAATTTTATCTCTGTCTTTGGCATCTTTCTTGCATCTTTGCTGACTGTAAGTGAAATGCTGCATTTTTCAGTTGCTTGGTTTTTTCTTAGGGTAGCCTTAATTGTTAACCATTGATTTTAGTTTTCTTTCTAGCCACACTAAATGCATTTGAGAACTTCTCCACAAGTATGGTAACCTAACCACAGTTTAATGGTAATCCCTTAAGATGAATTTTCACTTACTAAAAGTACCAGTTTAAAAACAACAAAATCCCAAACACTAGCTTGGGAAAATTCTTCCTAAAATGTGCACAGTATATTAATATATCCCTTTGTGTTTCTGACTCAGAAATTCGGCAGGCTTTTTGTGCTTTCCTCTAGAAGCTACTAAACCTCATAGTAAGTTCTCTACTTGTATTTATTCACTCCCGTCCCTATCACATTTTAACATAATGCAGGAATGGAAGCTACAGCAAACCTCCGAAGTACCTAGTTCCATTTCCTTGTTACTGTTTCCTATGTCTGTCTGTCTCTCTCTCACACACACACACACAGAGATACATACATACATACACTCACAGGGAAAAGCCATTTCTGCCCTTAAACCCCTGGCTTTTGACCAGGTAAGTCCTTGAGGAAGGCAGCCACTCACAATCTTACTAAGCTGTGAAGTGTGAATTACTATGTGAGATGTCTCTAAAATCCCAGACAGTTATTGTTTTTGTTGTTATGTGCCATCAAGTTGCCTATGACTCACAGCAACCCTGTGTACAACAGCCCTAAACTCAGCCCTATCCTGTGCCAATCTCACCATCTCCGACGCTCATACCGTCATGACCCCAGTCACTGAATCAATCCATCTCATCAAAGATCCTCCTCTCCTACACTGTCCCTCCACCCTCCCAAGCATGATGTCCTTCTCCAAAGACTGGTCCCTCCTTGCAGCATACCCAGAGTATGTCAGATGAAGCTTCAGAATCCTTGCCTCCAAGGAGCAGCCCGGCTTCACTCTCTCTAAGACAAACCTGTTTGTTTTCCTCCATGGTTACTCAGTTCTCTTCTCCAGCACCACATCTCAAAGGCATCAATTTTCCCTCTGTCATCACTAGTCATTATCCAGCTCTCTGATGCATAGCAAGTGATTGCAAAGACATGTATCAGACACACCTTAGTCTCCAGACTGAACTCCTTGCACTTTAGCACTTTAGAGAGGTCTCTAACCACAGACTTCCCCATCGCAATAAGTCTTTTAATTTCCTGGCTGCTGTTGCCAAGAGTGTTGACTGTGGCCAAGCAAACTAAAGCTGTGAACAATCTCAATCTCTTCATCATCCATTATGATGCTGCCAATCTGTCCAGTGATGAGAATCTTTGTTTTCTTGATATTGAGTCTCAATCCATACTGAAGACTACAGTCCCTGACCTTCCACAGCAAGTGCTTCAGGTCCTCCTCAGTTTCATTATGTGTTTTTTCTCTTTCACTCAGTGTCCACTCATTGTCCACTCATACCTAGGTTATTCTTCACTTGCCTAACTCAAGTCTCATCCATTGTATATATGTTATGTGCCGTCAAGTCTATTATAACTCATAGTGACCCTGTGCACAATAACTGTGAACCTTGCTCTTTCCTGAGCCAGTCTCACTGTCTCTGACACACCTCCTTTCATTACCCCACTTAATTGCATCAGTTCATCTTATCTGGAGTTTTCCTTATCTCAGGTGCTGTCCCTCAGCTCCAAGGACTGGTCCCTCCTGGCTACATGCCCAAAGTATGTGAAAGAGAGTCTCAAAATCCTTGCCTTTAAGGAGCAGCCTGGTTTCGCCCTCTTTAGAACAGACCTTTTAATTCTCTTTGCAGTCCATAGTGTATGTTCAGCACTCTTCTCCAGCATCACAAACTCAAAGGGATCAATTCTTTTGTCATCCTTGGTCCAGCTCTCTGGTGCATAGCAAGTAATTGGCAAGGATGGCACAGTCAATGCTGTCTTATATACTTAGCACTGTGTATGTAAACTACAATCATAATTTATTTACTTGATGAATGTCTTTTTCTCTCTCTCTCCAGTTGTCACATAATGCCTATCACACAGTTCTTGTCCATTAGCAGGTACTCAGTAAATGTGGACTAAGCAATAATAGGTGTTAAGTCAGAAGGCACACAAATTAGTCTGATTATAGATTCTAGAATAGGTAATTAATTAGCCATATTAAGGTTTTTTTGTAGCTTTTATCACAAGTCATATTTTAGTGATAATGGGTATAGTGACCATCTCTCAGTTGAAATAAGGGCTAATAATCCCTGTTTTTCCTGTGAAAAATAGAGACCACGCAGGGTTGTGCATTGTAAGTGATAATTTCTGGTGAGACGTTTATTCTGTTTACTCTTAACATTTATATTTAACTTTAGCTTTGATTTCTGTGAACTACAGTAGTTGAAAGTAGTAAGATTTAAATTCTTACAGAAATACTTATATTAGATCACAGAGTAACGCACTATAAATAAGTTTTAATTATTGGGCTACTACTTTTATTAGGTAACTTAATAATTTTAGATAACTGTTATGTTAAGTGAGGATAAGTGGCTCATTCTAAATGCAAATTGATGAATTACTTGTCCTTATGTTCAAAATAATTTAAGCAAGAATTTTAGCCTGATTGCTCGACAAGTGTAAATGTCACTTCTTAGTCCAGGACAGTTTCTTCTCATGTAGGTTGATGCAGAAGTTGATGTGGAGTGCTAAAAAGGGCCTGCCTTCTCAGTTTTTAATTATGGGACAGTTTCTTCTCATGTAGGTTGATGCAGAGGTTGATGTGGAGTGCTAAAAAGGGCCTGCCTTCTCAGTTTTTAATTATGTTGGAACTCACTATAGGGACAGTTATTTTATTTGGCATTTTTGTTTAAGATATTTTTAGACAAGATTATTTTATACAAGCTATTTAGAGTTGCATCTACATCTTAAATCATTGTTATCTGCGTATAAAAGCTTTTAAATCCAGTCTGATTTGATTTTTTTTACCATTTTTTCTTATAGCAAAAATATTTTGATTCTGGGGATTACAACATGGCTAAAGCAAAAATGAAGAACAAGCAACTTCCTACAGCAGTGCCGGATAAGACGGAGGTCACTGGTGATCACATTCCCACTCCACAGGACCTTCCTCAACGGAAACCATCCCTCGTTGCTAGCAAGCTGGCTGGCTGATGAAAAGATCTGAACTGCATGAATCTTCTAGTTCTCATTATTTCTTCTTATGTTACTTCTCACCTTTTATTTTTTTTCTTTCAACTCACCAAGTCATTTGAGACAGCTTTTTATGTGTATGTGTGTGCTGCTAATTGTAAGGGAATATATAGATTTTTTTATTAGTTTAACAGTGCACTGATGAAAAGGACATGTTAGAGCAACGTAAAGTAATCTACTTGAAACATAATGTATATATTATCTGACTTATAGAGTAGGACTGATTCTAACAAGTAACAAGCAAGTTTTACAGTTTTAATGTTTTGACTTTCCTTACTTCATATTGATTATAACTTTGTATGTTACTCTTATTAATACAACCTATATTGTATTAAATTCTATGTATTTTCCTTTTGGACTTTGTAAAACAGAAGTTTAAGACCACAAGTTAGGAGAAAGGTCACCTAATTCAAACACAAACAAATGGATGGGGCTCTGAAATATTTGTATCTCTTTGCTTGAACTTGAATGGCCTTAAATAACTGTTTCAGCTTTAACAATAGAAATTTACTTGGGCAATATTTGCCCATTCTGTATCTGATGTGACTTGTGCTTAGTAGCTACTGTTGCAGCTAGTGTTCTTACTCAGTTCTATAGTGTTAGAATACCTTTAGTTGTTGATGTGGATGAAGTGTGCATGTGCATTGACTGTTGAAATCACTTTTGTGCCATTTTTGTAAATACAGTCGTTTTGCACAACCTCACAAATGTCTGTATTATTAATTTCGCATATTAAAAAGTAGATGATGTGCCAAGCAGAAGCACAAGAGTTCCTACACAAAACGCCTTTCATTAGAGTTTTTGTATGTCATTTACAATCTAGGGCTTAACAGAATACCAAACTCTGAAATCTCACTCACTCTGCCATAGACTTGAGCTTTTTTCATTTGCTACTAATATCTATGACATTCAGTGGCCTTGTGCAAATATGATATGTTGCTTAGGCATATCTTTTGTCCTATGCAGAACATTTCATCCTGACTTTTAGGAAGATTGCAGTTCATATAATTTATATAAACTTTTGAAATGTAGAAACTTTTTACTTCCACAACTTTTCAACTTGGGGATGCTAGAATAAAAGACTTCAATACTCTATCCTCACCTTTGTGGGTCCCACACACACCCTCTTTTTATTTTTGCTTTTATTTCTTTGATTAATATGGAATTGGGCTATTAAATCTGAATTGAAGCATAGGTGTTTGTATATTTACTTTTGGAAATTTGCTCTACTGAATGCTGTAGTATATAGCACAATAATGTTAATTTCCTAGTTCTTAAGAATCATTCTTAATCCTATAGTAGTAATATTTCACAATTGTTTAAATAAAAGGAACTTTATCATTTCCTTGAGAAGACTGACACAGAGTCTATATGAAGATGAGCTGATTTCTTGTAAACTTAAGCATTATGCTACAATTAGAGTAATTTACATGAAAAGTTGGGGTATGCTAAAAAATTTTAATCAGTTATACTTCTATAGATGTTACTTCAAGGAAGATAATTCATTTTAGTTATAGTTGATTTGGCTGATAAGAATTCTAATTAAGAGCCTTTAAGTTGGAATAAACTGCTGTTTGAATTCTTTCTGTGTCTTAATGCTGTCACATAATAATGAACATTAGTAGCCTAATGTACTAAATTTTCCATCATCTTTGTCTTAATATGATAGTAAACCATTTCTAGATGATGCATAGTGCCTACATTTAAAGCCTGCCCGAGCAAATCTCACCAAGTTTTCCTTTTCTCCTAACACAGAAAAAATAATAAAATCTGCTCATTTGTCGTTTTAAAAATGTTCTATATAAAAATAATCAGAGTAAGTAGGTTATTCCGTGTAGGACTGACTTTAAAAAAAAAAGCAATATAAAATGAAAATTTCTAGTCATTTTTTATTATTATTAATTTCTTGGCAAGTTATTTCCATGAAGCTCTCTCATCTAGGAAGATGAATCTAAAAGAGAGACTGTAGTCTCTACCGGACTGTAGTGTTCCAAGACAAGTGATAGAGAGCCAGCTTTTGTCCAAGTTTTTGTTTGTAACATACAGTGCTAATACTTAACCTACCTCAAAACTTGTTGAGGATCTGTGAAATGCCGAGTAAGTGCCCAAAGTAAAATACTGTTGATTGTCTTTTCTAGTAAAGTTTTCCTCATTAAACCAACCTGCCTTCTGTAAAGACACAGCATTTATCTCAGGATTTTCTCTTGGGAACAAGCTGTCACTAAAGATTTGTAGGTGTAATTGTTAAGTCTCCCAATATTGGTGCTTGGGATAGAGATGTTGAAATTTTTTGAATTTTTTTTTTTAATCTGTGTCAAAACTCAGTTTATTGAAGACATAATTCTAGTCGTCTTCACCGTTGTTTGAATGAAGATTTAGATTAGATGAACTTAATTGTCCATTTCTGTGATTTCAGAGTTGCGGTTTTAAAAATGGCTAATTATAGTCAATGTCCTATTTATTACATATGAAATATTGAAATCAACTGAAGTTAGAGAAAACAGATAATTCATGAAAATCAGTTAGGATCTGAAATAAGTTACCTGTTCGTTTCATGTCCCAGTAGCTCTTAATGTGACAGAATTTTGAGAAACATTTGCTACTTTGAAAGCTGCATCAGATTAAAACAGTTAAAATTCTGGCAAGTTGGGATAATAAGGTTGGTTAATTATTTGGATAAACTGGGAAGGATACATTTGTAATATGTTTACAAGTTGTTGCATACTCTTGTGCTGCTGATATGAAAACGTGACTGAACTTTATTAAGGCAGACCAGGCACAGCCTCTTCTACTTATTAGTCCTTCAGACATTGCATTAGTTGCTTTTTAAAATTTGAGATAACTATACCTCTACTTTTTACTGAATCAAATATATATCCTTTCTAAATACAAATTAGTGATGTTTTGTTAAAGTTGAAATGTAAAATTTCACTCCTAAACTTGGTGTTCGTTGATCCAGGGACAGATAGAAAAGCATTTCTCAGTGACAACTAAGGCTGTTTTTTCTGGTAGCCTTTTACATATTTCCCCAACATTCAAGCAGATTTCTTTCCCTTCACTTTACCTCACTGTGATCCCTGTTTATTCCTTAAGTCCACTCATGACACTTACTGAATGGTATTTGGGATACATTAATTACCTGTCTCTAATGTCATCCCTGTCAGACCACAATGAAAGACATGATTTTCATTTTTTACAACACTGTCCTAATCTGGGTTATTAGTAATCTGAGCTAATGCCTGTTTTCTGCAATTCAGCTTGCACTGCCAGTCTTTCCCCATAGCTCGTCACCATATTCCTGTCTCCACCATGTAAAATTGGAATCAAAGAAATCACTCTGAGATTGCTAACCTATGGATAAAAAACACCAGTTTTCGTACTGTTCAACTAATTTCAATGCTATTACATTAGTTTCCATTTTAAGTAAGTAGGCCTATGGATTTTATTCTGCAAATTACTGTCATGATAGCCACTAATGTATCTTTATGTTGATGTTATTTATCAGCTAAATAGTTGGAAGAAAACATTTCCTTAAGGTGCCCTCATTTGTGTTGCTGCATCTCTCATGTGTGATGCAATAGGACACTATCACTATACCTGTGTTAAAAGGGCCAAGAGTAATGCCTTTTTGTTGAATATGTCTATAGAGTTCGTAGAAATGCTGAAATTTGTCAAACATCCCTTCTGAATATAATTGTGAAACATACAAATAAATTGATCTGCCTAATTTCGATTGATTTAATATGCAGTTTTGTCTTGTTTGTTATATTAAATTCCAGTATATTAAAGGTGGTCTTTTTATTTCAGATACTACTCCAGAGAGAATGTTTTGTGTCTTTGATTTGATTTCTATAACGAGATTGTTGTTAAATACCATCTGGTTTAGTATGGCTCATAGCTACTCTTGTGAACAACAGATCTGAATCCTGTCTTATCCTGTGCTTTAACACATTTGAAATGTGAACTCACTGCTGCAGTATTGTGTTAAGGGTCTCAATGAAGATGTATGCCAACCCTTTCCAAGGAATAACCTCTTCTAGCAACATGCCCAGACAAAATATGAGAGACAAAGCTTACATCTTTATTTCCAAGATGCACTATGTTTTCACTTTCTCCAAAACTTACCAGTTTGTTCCTTTGGCTGTTCATGGGATATTCAGCACTCTTCTCCAAAACCACAACTGAAAGACATCAATTCTGTCATTCATTGTTCAGCTTTCAGGTGCATAGCAGGTGATTGAAAAGATTACAGCTTGAATTAGGTTCACCTTAGGCTTCAAACTGACACAGTGGTATTTCAGAACTTTTGAGAGGTCTCTAATGGCCAGCTTAACCAATGCTATATACATCAGATCTGGCTTCTGGTACCAAGGATATTGATTGTGGATCCGAACAAGATTCTTAAAAATTGTTGACGATTTCAGTCTTTACTTCGTCTACCGTGATATTGCCTGTATGCCCAGTGTAAGGATTTTTTTTTATAGATGTCATGTCGCTTTAAGCAAACAAGGTTGTATCATCCCTCATAATGCAGGTTGTTGAGTTTTCCTCCAATCCTGACATCCCATTCTTCATAAAATCTAGCTCATGTTACTCAAGTTGAACTGAAAAATCCAATCCTTGAGTTACAATACCGAGATGCCATGTGAAAAATCTTGAATGATGCAGGAAGCATCAAAAGGTGGAGGGACATGAAATGACTGTAAAAAATTATTGGTAGGCATTGAAGTTTTATAGGGAGTACCATATTATCAGGAGCCAATGGTGATGAAGGAAGTTCAAGCTGCATCGAAAGCATTGCAATGAATGTTTGATGCTGTTAAGTAAGACTCCGTTAACTCTGAACAAAAGATCTGAAGCTTGTCATATCCTGTGCCATCTTAATATGTATTTGAGCAATTATCAGAGCAGTGCAGCCATACATTGATTAAACCATCAAAACCACAGGCAGAGATGCCAGTAGGCTGTTTTCTGCCAGTCTGAAAAGGACAAAGCACTAATATTTAATGTCTTCCTTAACTCTCATCTATAAATACGAAATGGTCTAATGATTAAATACTATCAATATTTTAATTAACAGTTACTATTGGTTATAAAACATCTATTTTGAATACCTATATGGGTTAATGATTGAAGTTAACTTACAAAATAAGATGTCCATTGACCCTGAAGGAAGACATCATGATAGACATCGTGTCAATACAAAAAGAATCAAAACTGTCTTGAAACAATGTGCTTAAGCACCATACCCTTTGTGAGGATGATGCAGGATCATTTTGTTGTACATGTTGTTAGGTGCTGTTGAGTATAACAGCAACCCCATGACAAACATCTGAATTCTGTTCCTATCCCATGCCATAGTGGCACAATCTCTGACACACTTGAGTCAATTGCTGCAGCCACTGTCAATCCACCCAGTTGAGGATCATCCTCTCCTTTGCTATGCCCTCCACCTTTCCAAGAATAATGTCCTCCAATTGATAGCCTCGTATAGCAACATGCCCCAAGTATGTGGCATGGAATTTTATCATCTTTGCCTCTAAGGAGCACTCTGGCCGCATCTTTTCCAAGGTCTGCTGTTTGTTCTTTTGACAGTCCATGAGATAGTCAGTACTCTTCTCCAACACCACATGAGATATTCAGTGCCCTTTACCACAGTTCCAAGCATCAGTTCTTCTGTTATCTGTATTCACTGTCCAGTTC